TAATGTCCCTCCTTTTATTCCCCATCCTAAATTTATTAACCATTGTTACACGTGTAATTGTGGAAAACATACTCGGTTTCCTTTTCGGTTAATTGAAAATAAAAGTTCGATGCCTTTTGAACGTATTTTTTGTGACATTTGGGGTGGTTATCATACTGCTTCTTTATCGGGTGCTCATTATTTTTTACCCATCGTTGATGAATTTACTTGGGTTACATGGTTATATTTAATGCATTTTAAATCCGAAACTTTGACTTGTCTCCGCACTTTTTTCTATATGATTCTTACACAATTTCATTGCAAAATTCATCATATACGCACTGATAATGGTCAAGAACTCATTACTTGAGCTACCCAGGATGTCCTTTCTAAACAGGGCACTCTTCATGAACGCACTTGCGTAGAGACACCACAACAAAATGGTGTTTCCGAGCGCAAACATCGTCATATTCTCAATGTGGCTCGTTGTCTTCATTTTCAATCTCACCTCCCTATTACTTTTTGGGGTGAGTGCATTCTTACTGTATCATACCTCATCAATCGCACCCCGTTATCCTCTCTAAAACATGTATCCCCTTTTGAGCGCATCCCTATTACTTTTTGGGGTGAGTGCATTCTTACCTCATCATACCTCATCAATCGCACCCCGTCATCCTCTCTACAACATGTATCCCCCTTTCGAGAGCCTTTATAAGATAGCACCACACTATGATCACTTACGCATCTTTGGTTGTCTTTGTTACGCTCATACTATCTCAGCCCACCGTGACAAATTCCAACCTCGTGCTCGCCCTTGTGTTTTTTTTGGGTGCCCTTCAACTCATAGTACAAATCGGGTTTATGACCTCAAAAACAAGAAGTTTCTCATCTATCGCTATGTCACATTTATTGGACATGTCTTTCCCTTCCAAATAATGCCTCGACCTTCTTCTACACCTCTTGTCTTACCGCTTCCGATTCCTGACTTTCCTCAATTAGAACTGACCTCTACCCCATCTGGCCCTCTCCCATCTCCTCCTGATGTTCCTTATGTTCCTTTCCCTACTCGCCCCCAGCATGCTATACATCGTCCTTCCCCTCTTGCTGACTACATTTGTCCTGCTCTACCATTGACTTCATCCGTTACACCCTCTCCTACTTCGGTCACTTCTTCAGGTATGGTTCATCATTTATCTCATTTTGTTTCATATCAAAAATTCTCCCTCATTTTGCCTTCTTATCTGCTTTATCACGGTCCCCTGACCCTACCCGATATTCTCAAGCTGGTAAGAATTCACATTGGCGTGATGCTATACAAACTGAAATTCGGGCCCTTGAATCCAATCATACTTGGATTCTTACTCCGCTTCCTCCGGATAAGAAACCTATTGGTTGTAAGTGGGTGTTCAAAACCAAGCTTCATACGGATGGTTCCATTGAGCTATATAAGGCCTGGTTAATGGCCAAGGGCTACACTCAGGTTGAAGGCCCTGATTATCATGATATTTTTGCACGTGTGCCAAACTTGTCACTGTTAATTGTGTATTGGCTATTGCAGCAGCCCGTAATTGGCATCTTCATCAATTAGATGTCAATAATGTATTTCTTCATGGAGATTTAGCAGAGGAGGTCTACATGACACTTCCTCCTGGATATGGTCACCAATGGGAGACTCGTGTTTATCGTTTACTTAAATCTCTTTATGGTCTTAAGAATGCCTCCCGTAATTAGTACTTGAAACTATCCTCTGTCTTAATCTCTGATGGGTTCACTCAGTCTGCAGCAGATCATTCTCTTTTTACTTGGACTATTGGCTATTCCTTCATTGTGGTCCTAGTTTATGTTGATGATATTATGCTTGTAGGAAATGATCTCTCTGCCATCTCTAGCCTCTCAAAGTGCTCCTTGATGATCGTTTTAAAATCAAGGATTTGGGTGTCATGAAATATTTTCTTAGCCTTGAAGTTGCTCGATCACCACTTGGAATTTTTGTCAATCAGCGCAAGTATACATTGGATATTCTTGTAGATTATGGCAATTTGGGTTCACGACCTGCTTCTTTCCCTATGGAACAGAATTTGAAACTCAACCTTGATGATGGCATTCTACTCTCTGACCCTAGTGTATACAGACGGTTAGTAGGACGTCTTCTGTATCTCACTGTTACTCGCCCAGACATCTCATTCTATGTGAACATGTTGAGTCAATTCATGCAAAACCCATGGGATTCACACTACCAAGCTGTTCTCCACATTCTTCGTTACTTAAAGGGTTCTCTAGGTCATGGGATTTTGTTTTCTACACAGTGTGATCTTCGCATTTCCGCTAACTCTGATTCTGATTGGGCCAGTTGTCCTGTTACTCGTCGCTCCACCAGTGATTTTTTCATCACCTTTGGCACCAGTCCCATCTCTTGGTGCACAAAAAAAATAGTCTGTTGTTTCCCGCTTCTCTGTCGAGGCTAAGTACCGTGCCATGGCTTTCGCCACATGTGAGGTTATCTGGCCGAAGTCTCTTCTACGCGATCTTGTTGTCGTACATCCACATCTTATTTCACTCTATTGTGATAATGAGACTGCTCTACACATCACTTGCAATCAAGTTTTTCATGAGCACATAAAACACATTGAAATTAATTGCCATTACGTACGAGAAAAAATATCGCTCTGGCCTCATTCTTCCTACTCACGTCTCGTTCAGACTTCAGATAGCTGATATTTTCACTAAGGCTCTCGGAAAGGATCTTTTTCTTCATTTCACTCGCAAGTTGGGCATTACGAATCTTCATGCTCCAACTTGAAGGGGAGTATTGAATATAATTCTAAGGGATTTTCCTACCATGTTGCAATTATTTCTTTTCCTAGATTAGTTACTTACCAAACATAGGCGTGCCTTCCATTGTATATATAAACACACGTGTATAATCCATTACAATGAATGAAAGCAAATTCATTCCATATCAAACTGTAAAATCTATCAAAGAAGAAGACAAAAACTTTTTAAAGAAGGAGAAAAGGAGAACCTGAAGCTGCCGTGCTGCCCTTTATTTTTTTTCCTCTTTCGTCCGTGCCACAACAATTGACCTGTGAAACCCTCTCTCTGCCCCAATTTAATAAGGAGAAATTAGGCTAAGTATGGCCTAAAACCTAAAGAATTGATTAATATACTTAATTATACTTAATTTATTCATTAACCATTTATTAACCATATCTTCTACGCGAAAATGGATTAGAATCCATTGTGACTGCATCTTTGGGCTGATTCAACATCATCTTATTCAGTTTCCGATAATGGTTAAAGTTTATGACTACATCTCGGCCTCGAAATCTTTGGGCCGCTATATCGTACGCCCGGAGTGCTTCGTCTCCCTTGGAGGCTTCGCCCCTAAAACCCAAACTAAACTACCCCAACCAGTTTCTCTACCATCTCTGCCTGCCGCTGATACGATTTTTGCCATTGCCGAGGAGACGATCTTCATGGCTTTGCCATGGCTGTGTGGAGTAAAATGGAAGAGCCGCTCTTCTCCAAGCTTTAGTTTTCTCCGACTTTTGCTATCGCCCACGTTTTTGTACCTTGGGCAATTGATGTAGCTTGTAGAACGAATATTTTGGTGGCTTCGTTCTGGCCGATGATTCCAATTGACAAGTGGAAGATGGGTGGGGACATGAGAGTGCATACATGACGTGCAAAAGTGGAAGACAGTTGCATGCTTACAAACTAGGCTAGTAACAATTACGTGCAGAAGTTTCCAGTAGTTGCTGTTAAGATCATTTTGTTAGATGTTAGTTTCACTTTTATTTCGATTCGTTTGTATGTGGCTTTGCTTATTTAAAGCAGCCAATGCTTTCGTTAATTGAAGAGTAATTTCATTGCATTCAAATTGTGGTACTTTTTCTCACCCGAAGAGAAAACAAATTATCATAGCATTATACTCTCTAACTAGCACTTATCATTGCTCAGTTGCTTGATATAAGAGCACCAGGAGAGTTGAGGCAAGTGGGAAGCTCGGATGTTCTGAGTTTGAAGAAGAAGCTGGTGGCTGTCGTATACAAAGGGCCGTGTCATGAATAAACCCAGTGTACCATAGGATTTAAGATATCCCGTTAGTGCTGTATCTGATTTTTATTATCACCAAGAATACTACTCTAAAAGATTTATGAATAGCATAAGATCCCAAACCTATTCAGTGAATTATGTAGTTGCATTAGATATTTTCAGTTAATGGAGACGAAATTGTGGATTTAATTTTTAGTGTTTGTCATTTTTTTGAACTTCATCACTTTTTGAATGTTTGTCACTTTTTTTTTTAATTTTATATCACTTTTATTTAATTTGTGTCACTTTTTATTTTAAATTTTGTCACGTTTTTGAACTTTGTGACTTTTTAATTGTGTCACTTTTTTTTAATCAATGTAACTTTTTTTAATTTGCGTCACTTTTTTGAATTTGTCAATTTTTTTAAAATTTCTTTCAGTTTTTTGAATTTTTGTCATTTTTTAAGTATTGTGTCACGTTTTTTTAAAAAGTGACAATTTTATCATTTTTTTTTTTGTGTTTGTAACTTTATTGAGTATTTGTCACTTTTTTGCTACTTTTCTGAATTTTTTTCACTTTTTATTGTTTGTTATTTTTTAAAAATTTCTATCACTTTTTTTAATAACAAACATGTTTTGATTGACGTTTCGTCACTTTTTAAGTATTTGTCACTTTTTTGAATTTGTATGACTTTGTGTGTGTGTGTGTCACTTTTTTAAAAAAAAGTAAGAATTTTTTTTTTAAAAGTAAAAAAGTGACAATTTTTATAAAAAAAAAGTGACATTGTGTCACTTTTTCATTTTACACAGTATTTTTTACTTCTTAAAAACCTTTCATATGATTTTTCAAAACACTTCTAATTTTAAAGGTATTTTTGTAAGTACCCCGTCTATATATAAAAAGTATAGATGTATTATGTATCAATTGTTTTGGTTTACTTATAGAAAAGTACAGATGATCTCTCCGGCCCTTTAGAACTTGATCTTTCAGAATAGATTAAATATGAAGATTGCAAGTCCAGCAATGAGCAAATGCAGATTGAGTGGCGTAGCTTTTGGAGCCCAACTTGATGCAGGTGGTGGTGCACCTATGCCTTTACAGTCAAGTCCTTCTCTTGTTTCAACGCACAAATTTGCGAATAAGGAAGCCGGATACTTTCCATACAGATTTGCATAGCTAAAGAAGGTTTCCATACAATTGTTTTTCAAGTCATTGATTGCATCTCGAATAGGGCAAAGCAATTCCTTCAAGGGCGGACAACACCGTTCCTTTGTGTAGTGCGGCCCTTTGCACTGGCTTGTTACGACCGTATAGTTCAGCGTCTCCAAATTCAGAGGACAATCTGCAACACGGACAGTAAATTGTTGCAAGGATAATAGATCTTGATATTGTCTAGTGGAGAACATACTAAAATTAATATTGAGATTTGAGCTCAACTTAGGGGCGATCAAATTTTCATTTCAGGTATATTTTGAAAAATGAAATTCTTTGGAAACTTTTCAAAAATTTTAAAATACTTCCATAATTTTTAAATTTTTTTAATATTATTTGGAAACCTTGAAAGCCTCGTTCACAATATTTCAAAACTTAGATTATGAACTACATACTATCATAGACTTTTTTGTGGCCTTAAATTAAGAATTAAAAATTAACATTGAATATGTTTTTAATAATTTAATATTTAATTTATAAATATAAATTATAATTTTTTTATCACATCTCCACAACTTTTCGTGTCCTACATTTCGTGTCACGCAAATCATAAGCAAGATATGAGTGCCTCAGTTTAATTTTATTTCTTTTCACAAAATGTATGAACAAAATCGGGGAACAAGAAGTCTTACTGGTTGTCTGCTGCAGAAGGCTACGGCCCACTGAGCCATGAAACTCGAAAACATCATCTATTCATACAAAGAGCAAACAACACATTTTATCAATACATAATTTAACTTTTCATGCAAAAACAAAAATAGGACGATATGCATCATGCGTGCACCATTTTTTATGGTATAAAATAAAAAATGCATTGTTTGATATCTTCGTAAAATTTTAGATATGAGTAGATGCACCTACTCATTCTTATTTCTAAAAGTTTTAGGTAAATAAGTCTTCATATAATTTCATGCATGCATGAATGTCAATTACGTGAAATGTAGGAAGAGGAAGCCAAGCCAATGAGAAGGAAGAAGAGAAACAAGTGGAAAGATCTGTTGCATTCCATCCCTCCTTTTCTTTTTCCCGCAGATTGTCTGCCTTTCGTCTTGATTTTCAAGACCAACTCCCTTCAATTTTCAGAGAGTTGGTTTGCTTTCGTTTTATTCCTTTTTTTTTCTTTTCAGGCGATCAAGAGAGTTAAAAGATGTTTGAAGATATTAGAAGGTGGAGAGTTTGGGAGAAAAAGAAAAACATTCCTTTCTTTTTTCTTTTTTGGTGATCAAGAAAAATAATAGGTGTTTGAAGGTAATAGAAGGAAGAGAGTTTGGGAGAAAAAAGGGGAAAGGAATGGCAGCCATGCAATAGGCTGGCAAATATTTTTGTTGGATGGAGTTAATATCTATCCACGTCCTGCTGGGTAAATCTTGGGTTACAATATGCACGTGCAATAAGAATTAATTATAGTGTTCATAATTTTTCTATTTTCCATCGTGCCACGATATGACAGAATAACAATTAGTAAAATATATGGACAAACGTACATATTTGTGATGCCTTGAAGCCTTTTCTTACAGTTTTTTTTTCAAATATTCCATCTTGCCTGCCTTGGGCTTCAATTTTGTACACGACATCCATCCCTGGAAGCACTTTGTCAAAGACAACGGGATGACCATCCAACCTTATGAACATAAATAGATTACATGAACAGAATTATTGACAAACGAATTCTAAAAGCTCGAACCGACTCAACAGAATGGGATTAGAAAGCATTCAAATTGGAATGAAATGAGCAAGGGATGAATATTCAACTTGATAGCATTGATGCAGTTGACATTCACTTCGTAAAACTTATGTGTTCAACATTGTATATCATTCACGACCCATTCTTTATCTGTGTTGACGGTGGTGCCTTGAGTTGGGGGGCCATCATACTTATATTTAAATAGATTTGTTTGACTATCTATAGAGAGGGTGTGTTTCTTGAAGTGTTTGTTGAAGTTTGATATTAATTCCTTAGTGTTGGTTAGATTTCATAAGTAAACGAAGCAAAGTTATGAATGAAATTACTTGATCTTTCTCATTCGTACAAAGGGATTAATCCAATTCTTTATTTCTTCGAACTCCAAGAGATTGGATTCTGACCTGGGTAGACAACCTAGGCATTGGTGGAGGTGAAGCTTGAGTCATCATTATTACCTGTCCGGTCAACATCAGAGTATGCAAATCTCCATTTAGGAGAAGCCCATTTTCAGTGTGCCACACAGGTATCGAAGAAGTCGTTTCTATCGGTCGATGCAGGAAATGAGAAAGCTTACTGACTACAAAGGCAGTGTTTCTCGACATGTAAGTGAGAAATACATAAGATTTTCTGAACAATGAAATAGAACACTGTAGGATTAGAAAGGGTTGTGCCATATTGAAATGTCAAAATTGGACCAGTGGTTTAACACTCCAAATCGAGATAACCTTGATTGGAAAGTATTTTCATTTAATTTTCTTAAAAATCATAAATGCGGTAAAACGATTAAATTTATTTTTGATATAATAAACATTTACCACTTTCATTTATGTAAAAAAAATGTACTTAATAAAAATAAAAGATGATTAAATTAAATGTTAGCTTTATTTCAAAATGAAAATCGATCCTTAAATATGTTAGTGTTAATCACGTCTCACCACAAGTGGTTGTCTCGAATCATCTTGTCTATATTATCTAAAAACCAATAACATGGAATGAGTTAGCTCAATGAGCAAACTTCATGCCTATGACACATGGCTCACTTGGAAAATGAGAATTATTATTTGGAACACAGTTCACTCTATCAATAATACCACAAAGTAGTTAACATTAACATTAAACATTCAATATTGATCGGTACGTCGTTCTCCACTCCTCATTTTCCACTCACATTCTTCATGCCATATACAAACACCTCTTAGCAAAAAAACATTATGAATCATTGACATTTCAAAAAAATTTTATTTTTTGAAACTTCATGTATATTTAGAATGCATTGACATATATAAATATGTTATGAGAAGCATTGATGATATAAAACGTAGTAATTAAATATCATGTTCATATAATAGCAATTTAGGTAACACGTTTATGCATTTAACCATCTAATATATACATGAAAATAAAGAGAGGTTTACTTACTTGAATCCTAGATCACCCACGAAGTCAATGTACCAAGTGATTTGTAAATATTTGGATGAGGTAGAAGCATTGGATGATTTCAAAAAGTTATAAAAGGTATTATCATATTTGATCTTTCTATTCATTTTCTTTTATTAGTTGTTTTACATCATTTACAAAATCAATGAGTTCACATATTATACTCTTATCTTTGTGGAGATCAGCAATTCTCTATGTACAGAAGAATTGCTACCAGAATTAATAACAATGGCGCTGCGACAGCATCTGTTCTTTTTTTTTTTTTTTGCCATTATCCAACGAAAAACTGTCAAGTGTCATCTGTATTAATTCTGACAGCATATTTTCTGTACAAATAATAGCTATCTTGTGGAGATTGCATTATAATGATTAGAATTATGGAACTTTGGTTTGTAATATTTGTAATGATGTTATTTATGTTTTAACGCAAAATTTTAGAATAATATTTATGATTTAATAGTTCCATTTTTCTAAAAAATTATATTTTTCGAAATTCATTTTCAATCACACATTTTCCAATAAAAAAATATTACGCGTAAATCTAAAACTTTTCTTTAATTTTTAGCTACACACTATTATCATTCTACTATTCTAAAATTCCCTAAAATGAGACTCAAACAAGGGCTATATATGTTATTTTTTCTTTTTGAAAAAAAATTCAAACCACTTTAAATTGTTTGATTTAAAAATTTATTACAAATCGTCTAAATCAAATCGTGGTTACCCCTAACCATGTGTGATAATTGACGTGAAGATGGAAATTGTGTTACATGGAATATAAGCTTATATGTGAAAATTGCAATGGTGACTAAACATTTGCGTATAAGATTGATGATTTAGGAAGGAGTGATTTAGAAAGAGGCTCACGGCTTGGTGTTACAAGATGTTCATGGAGCGAAACTTTGATACCGTTACGTAATTAACAGTAGTGTTCTAAAAAACTTGTCTAGGAGGTGCCTTAGCAAAGATCAGGCAAAACACCCCATTTCGTACCTAGACGTTTTTTTTTTTTTTTCAATTTTTAAATAGTTGAATTTTTTCATTCATCTTTTTCGTCTTCCCTAGGCGAGATTTATTGATTTTTTTCCTTTTTTTTATAGTCTTTTATTTAACTTTAGCTTATCAATTTTATTTTTTTTTTTTGAAAAAAAAAAACCTTTTCATTTGAATTTAATTTTAAATGTTTAAAAGATTTTACCTGTACAAAATTAAAAATGACTTTATTTAAATAGTTAAATAAGATTTAAGTTACAATGCTGTCTTCATTATGTAAATATGATTTTGAGACTTGTTATTTTGTTTCAAACTTTAAAAGCATGTATGAAATTTCTATAAATCTATTAATTAGGACTTATCTAGTTGAAATTGAAATTATGAAAAATATTCTAATTTTTGTATTTCGAAAACTTGAAAATTGTATAATTGACTAATGGTAGGAATTATTAAATAAATATAGTATTTTATAATTTTAGATGTTTCATGTGTATTAATTTAATTATTAAATCATTTTTAAAATGATTAAAAATTTAAAATAATACTAAAAATAAGAAAAAACTTGTTCACGCCTAAATCTCGCCTAGTCTCATTTAAGCTCGTAAAACTTGAAATTTTGCTTTCACGATTGTTCATACTTTATGCTTTTTAGAATACTGGTTAATAGAATTGAAAAAGTATTTTGTATTGATGTTTGATGATTATTTATACAAGAAATATTGATATAAAATCTAGATAGTAGCTGTTACAGATAATCACAAAAATTCTATTTTAAATTATTATCCTTATCAATATAGAGAAAGTGAGAGACGGCTACACTTATTTTTATTGAATTTTGATCAAGAAATGCAAGAATTGAATATCAAATAACTATCTTCTGTCATTGCAAATTCTGCACAAAATTTTATATAAAATTTCCAATTCTAAAATAAAACTTACTAATGATCTTCACTGCAAAAGCATGAAATTTTTCGCTATACAGAATTTGGTTGTAGCATTAATAGTATAAGAGACGGTAAAACGGTTTGGAATTTTCTATCCGACCAAACCATTGCAGCACTATTTGAATCAAATCATTTTTTACGGTTCGATTTGATTTCAAACTACTTAACATAAAAGTGTATGTATATATATGTATATATATACTAGGTGTAAGCAACGTGCAATGCACGTTTGCTTAGTTTATATATAATTTTTTTGATTAAGAATTAAATTTTTAATTAATAAAGATGTAATTTTTTTGACTAATTAAATAACTAATGATGTAATGTTTATGTAATTGATAAATAAACTTGAATCTTCCAAATTTCTTTTGATAATTTCTCTATAACGCTTTTAACATATAGTCATCAACATAGTTATATATATTGAGAAACACATTAAGATTTATTTTATTTTTAATTATGCTAACTATTTGTTTCAATTTCAAGAGCCCGTTTGGTAGAGATTAAAATCGGATTAAAATTAAAAAATTAGCCGTTATTGTTAATTTTTATTAGACGAGTGTGGCCCAATAACGGCTATATTTTCAATTTTAATTGGATTTTAATCGGTACCAAACGGGCTCCAAGTGTTTTTTTTTTAACTATCGAAACGTAATCCAAATTGTTACAGAATGTTTTATTTCGATTCAAAATCAAAATATTGATGGTTCCATGTGGAACCAACCAATAGCTTTGATTCCATTTGTGAATTGGTGATTTTTCTGTTCCTCCGTAATTCCTATGTCAAACCAAGGATATTTTTTGTTAGTTCGATACTATAGGTCTACAACTAGTCTATTTTGTCATTCCTCAAGAGGAACATCTCCTAATCGTAGACTCCAAGGTTACTTCTTGTTGTGTTTCATTAAATTATCATTTTAAAAAAAATATTGATACCCTAATTGATTTATCGTTTTTGAATCGGTAAATTAGTATTAAAAGATTGAGAAAATGAAGCAAAAGAGACAAATAATTTCACAATTTGAATCATCAATCAAGCCATTTATATGTTTAGCTATGTTTTAAAAATGCGAATGTCTCTTACAAGGTAAGGAATTGAATTCTTTGTCGGTACTAATAAGACAGTTTTGTACATTGGACTGTTGAGACACATTTTGCGATTTACCTCCTCCACAATGTTCTAGAGGCGAGACGGTGGGGGACCCTCAAGGTTGGGGTTCAACGTTTTTTTAAAAAATGCAAATATGCTTGTAATTTCAAATAAAAAAATTTATTTTAAAAAGTAGCTAAAAAAGTAAAAACTACTACGTACTGACTACTGCCACAATAAACCGCGGAAAGAGCAATAAGCTGGCTTATTTCAGGTCAAACATGCTGTCTCATCTCATTTCATCATTTATAATAAAAGTAACTTCTTTTTAATTTTTGAATAAAAAATTAATTTTAGGTAATGTTACTTCACCTCACCGTATACACGTAAACGTTACCTAATTTATAATTATATTAAGTCTCTCACCAATTAAGAATTATTTTTTCGACGATTCTAATGCTATTGCAATTTAATTATTTTAATAATATTTTATTTTTTTATTTTTCAATATCTATTTAACATTCAATTATATATTTCACTATTTATGTACATGTATAATAATCGATATTTATTTTCATGGATTTGCATCTCTTTCCTATTTAATTGAATCAAATACCCGTAATTAAAAAATAAAATAAAATAATAATAATAATAATAAATAAAGTGTACAAAAAGATTCTCATGGAATAAAAAGTTTATTGCACAAATAATTTTTTAACTATTTTTTATATTTAAATAATATTTATTTTATTTTTTAATCACCAGTGACTAGTAATAAAATAAATGATAATTACACAATTTTTATTAGTTACCATACATTTTAATTGCATTAAATGTCCTTAATTTTTCTCATTATAATATTTCCATCGTTTAATTTTTACAACGCATTCTTATCTTCAAAATTTCATTAATTAACATTAGGATGAGCAATTTTTTTTTTTTTTTTGGAAATAGGTGGAACCAAACCGGAACCAAATAGAATTGGCTAGTTTGGCTCTGATTCTTCTATTAAATGTGTTGATTTTGAATTTCTTACTTTCCTCGTGCATTGCATCAAAATGTACAGATCTTTGAACACTAGATCCCAAAATTATTTCACATCAAAATTTCATTTTCCAATACTTTTTCTTCTTTCCTTTGTAACAAAGCTTAATAGGTAATCAAAATTCAAATTTAAATAACTTATAATTGCATAGCTTTAATGCAACTCAATATGAAATAATAACGAAAAGATCAAATAATAAAAAATCTTATGTTCGTGATCTTTTCGTTATTTTTCTAGCATTTTAAGCTGTTGTTATCATTTGAAAAATTCATAATTATTGTGTGTTTCTTTGTTAGAATTAAATTTAACTAATGTGTAACTCATTTATTCACTTTATTACTTATATGCGACACGTGCGCTTACCATACACATTTTTTAGCGAACATGTAGATATCATTTTTGTAAGTTTCATGATCAAAATTGGACCACATCAAAGTTCACTGAGTAATTGAAAATATTTTTCAAAGTATGGTGAGCAATCGAAAATGTTTTTTTAAAGTTTAGTGAGTAACGAAAGACGCTTTCTTGCGTGACAATTTAGTAACTACGTGACATGGTACCACCTATGCATTTCCATTTAAAATTTGGACCATGTTATGTGTACATAGTAATACACATAGGGGTGTACATAATGTGAGAGGGGTGTGACCTGCGCTACAGTAGCACGGGTCCCACCTCTCTCATATTATGTACACCGTTATGTGTATTGCTATGTACACATAGCAATATTCTTAAAATTTTCACCATGTTTGAGCTCCATTTTTTTTGTTGAGAATGTATTTTAAAATAATAGATTGATGAAGAATTTGTGGTTAAAAAAGGAAAAATATTTTGATTTACGTGTAATATTATTTTATTGAATAATATTTGGTTGTAAAAAAGAGAAAAAAGGTATTTTAAAAAAATGGAAATCAAACACTGGCTTGAAATGAATATTATGCTAGTGAGTAATACCCCCATGTTTGAATAGTTTGGTGACTAAAACTTGATATTTTAAATTTTATTGAGCAATCCAAGATAGACATAACTTATCAGGACAATTAACTCACTACCAGCCCATTACTTATCTTATTCATATATAAATCTGGTTTCTGTAGGAATATATTGGAAAATTCAGAAGTATTATAGAATCGGTGATTATTAAAATCTAATTACAAGGTAATTAATTAATTGCCGGTTATTTCGGATGGTTTCATAAATGCCAATTTGTAGATCTGATTTTGCGTCGTAATTAAGCATTATTGATTACGGCACCGACTTGACGTAATCTTGAAGATTCTCTTTTCTCTCGCTTGCCAGTTGGTAATGGAAATTTATGATTGCAGGCGTGTTTTTCGTGTTTTTATTGTTGAATTGAATTGAATAGTTTGTAATTTGATTTTTTTAGGTTTTCAAATTTTGTATATAAAGGTCAAGTCTTTGCAATTGTCACCACTGCAGAAGGTAAAGTGTTAAATTGTTTAAGTAGGTGATCGGAGCTCGACTTTACTGAAATTTTTTTATTTTACTTTTAATCTTGGAACGACTATATGCTATAATATTTTTATCTGTATCCAAATTATATTATTTGGTAATGGAAGAACTCTTTTATTCTTAGTTTTTGGGTTTTGAGATAATGTCTATGTTAAGTTAGATTACTGCAGAAGAATTAAGTTGGAATTTTTGTCAATTACATTATGTGTTTGAAACTTTATTTTCTGTGAATTTTGAGAGAAGATATGATACCTTGGGGGGGATACACTAACAGGAGAGATTTTCTTTTGTCTTTAAAGTTTTTCAAATCTGCATTTTGGTGTTACAAAGAATGCAAGCAGGAAATTCATTACATTGATCCGTGTAAAGGGACATACATTGCTTTCTATTTCCCCCTTTTTGGTGTTATGATATAATGATCTATTTTGGAATTGCATTGGAATTATAGAATGACACCGGGGGTTGATCCTTCTGAAGAAGGAAATATATTCTTTTCTCGTCACGGCTTTCTGGATTTTACTTGTATGAATGCTGTCTATGCTTGTAAAAATTACAAGTTGCATATTCTTGTTGATATTACTAAGGAAAAGAAGATGATCTTGTTATCCCCTTGGGTTTCTGTATATAGGATAATTACATTATTAAGTAGTTTGCATTGAACTTAGGGCATTTTGGAGTGAGACAGTGATTATATTATCGAGGATGCTAATTTTGGTCTAATTGGTTTATGAATTCAGAGGAATCGAAGAAATGGCCAATGAAGCATCGAATGGAGATAACCACGTTACTAGAAAGCCTCCTCCAGAGCCCTCACCATTGAGAAAAGCGAAATTTTTCCAGGTTTAATATGGTTCTTAATAAACACTAGGTTTTTTAAATTCTAGATTTCATTATATATCCAGGGTGTACTTTTTTCTTTTCTATTGGGGTCGCTCTTGATTGACATTGTATGACTCTTTTAGTTGTGTTTAACTAAATTTGCTATAAGTGTTGGTTGACCATAAAGTTCTAACTTCTAAGACCTGTATTTGACTGAATATCACTGGTTTTTGGATTCTATTGCAAGTTTAATCTCAGTTTGTACTCTACTACCATCATGCTGAAGGTCTTTTCTTTAATAGGACCGAAAATGAATATCTTATTCATAATCTTAGAGGCTGTGCACTGCTTCATTCAATTGCTCTGTCATAAAGAAATGGAAGGAAATATTTTTTTGATCAATTGCGTGAACCTGATATTCTTTCTTCGCCTGCAGGGGTGGCCCAATCACTAATATATCTCTCAGTGAGAGCTTCATTCTATTATCAACTGCTGTTATATCATGAAATGAAAAAAAAAATCGAAAACTTATTTGCTTTGATCCTTTTATTTTGATTACGCATTTCTATTTTTCCTTCTTTTTTTGTGGTGATGATGGTGGTGGTTCCAAGCTGGTAGTCTGGTAACTGATTTAGCAGTAAACCACAATGGGACTCCTCATTTCTTGTGTGCAATATGAGATTGATGGTTATGTCCATGTATTTATTTTAATCAAGGTTCCCAATGTGGAATAGAATTTTATTTTCCTCTCCTTTTCTTTTAAAAGTAGGTATGCTAAGTGCATGTTTGGGAAACATTGTAATTTCCTTATAATTTAATAGTCAAAATCAAACATTAATTTTAATCACACATTTAGAAGAGAGTAATGCTATTTATCATCATGATGATGGAATATCGGTGATGTGGCAACCATTGTCCCTCACATTTTTCCCTCTCTCCTCCCCCTCTCTCGTAAGAATTGAACTGGCCAATCTCATTATCTCATATAGACTGTAACATCACCGATGTTCCATTATTATAATGATAAATGACATTATTCTTTCGAAAACCACAACTAATGCCCACTTATCCACTGCTCATATCTCTCACATTATAATTTCAACAATTTATAATCTTATTCAAACAAGCACTAAAGATGCATAAATTTACATATAGAAGGAGTTGGTGAAAGTTGAGTTCTTTTGTCAGTCTTTCGAGCATATACAAATTTTTCTAAATAGTTGTTTTCAATTCACTGTTTTCTTCCTACCCAGGACTATTGATGTTTTCCAGTTATGTTTTGGCAATGTGGTATTTAGTCTGCTAAATGATACCTTGATGACAGGCGAACATGAGAATTTTGGTTACCGGTGGAGCTGGATTCATTGGCTCTCACCTAGTTGATAAACTGATGGAAAACGAGAAGAATGAGGTAGATACTTATGTGCAGCAACTAAAAATATTTATTGATTGATATCCTTGAAACTTATCCTTCGCAGTAAAATAAATAACACCTCTATTCACGAGGACATGCATTCTAGGCAAACATTACATGAATATACTTTATTTTACTCAGGTGATTGTTGTGGATAACTACTTCACTGGCTCAAAGGACAACCTAAGCCAATGGATTGGTCATCCGAGATTTGAGCTTATCCGTCATGGTAGGCTTTTCTATAGTTTTTAAATTATAAGATTTCTACACTCCAATATGGTTTAGCTGTCCTTCTCACTTGTTGGTCATTTAAATTATATGTGACGTAGGATGCTATGAGAATTTGTATCCATAACTCCCAGGTGGTGGGAAATGTGTGGTTGTGGTAGTGTAGTAGGTGGTGGAATAGGTGACCGGCGACAGGAATTCAGATAAGGGTCTGGAGGTGAATATGATTGGTTTTGGTTTGGTGGAATAGGTGATCGGCGGCACTTGTGGATTTTGTGAGTCAGCGAGGTTGGGGAAACAGAGAGCGAACAAGGTGATTTATGTGATTGGCCGGCGATTGGGTAACGAGGCGTATAATGGTGGCTATTGCCTTTGGCGACGGACAGGGTGGTGGTTGGTGATGTGGCAGTGACGAGCGGAAGTTGCATTGTAGGGTTGATGCTGAGAAGGAGAAGATGAAGATTTGGGCCAAGTAATGCGATGGCTGGTTAATGAGTTAGTGGATATGGGAATGGGTTGGAGATAAGGGTAGTGGACCGGGTTGTTGCGATTGGTTTGGGGTAATTGGGTAATGGGTTGGGATATGTGTGTTTCAATTTTGTCAGCCTTGGTTATTTTTGTGGATTGTTGGCTTGGGTTTATATGGGTTACGGGCTGTATTTGTGGGTATATGGGATTGGTTATGGGCTAGTTAGTTTAGGTTATGGGCTGTAACAACTGGGCTGGTATGTTGAGGAATTGGTTTTTGATGAACAGCAGCAAGGGTTTGGGCATTTGAATCAGCAGCAGACTTGTACGAATTTTTTTTTTCGGCATTTTTTTTAAAACTGAAAACTGCAACTACATAATAACAGATGAAGTAACTTCTGGGTTTTTTTTTTTCTAACTAACTAAAAAGAGGAAAAAATTTACTGCCTTCGAGACGAATTCTTCTTGTTTTTGCGCTGTTCAAATATTTTGTGTATGAACGTGGTTGTAGGGCTAGGATGGGTGGTGGAAGGTGGCTATGTGTATATAGATTGGATGGAAACGGTTGGTGAATTTTTGAATTTGAGAACAAGGATGTTAGGCCAAAGGAAAATGAATTGCTCTGATACCAAGTTAAAGTATTATTTCATATATCAGAGTTTCTTTTATTATTACAAAGCACAAGATCCCTTCATATAAATGATTCTATTCTAAGTAGGAAATATATAATGAAAGCTATTAAATCAAAACCTAATTATGTTTCCTAAAATACGCATCAAAATTGGAAACTAAGTATAATAATTTCCTTTCTAATATTCCATCAATATGTCAGATAAGTTTTCCTCTCTCCATTACTTCTATCACTGAGCATTCTGAATGTCCTTGGTTCCTCCAGGCCGTAGTTTTCTGGGAATCACTTTCTTTCTTATACTATTAGTCCTTTCTTTATGCAGATGTCACGGAGCCATTGCTAATTGAAGTTGATCAGATATACCATCTTGCTTGTCCTGCTTCCCCAATTTTTTACAAATACAATCCCGTTAAGGTCAGACACCAGAGAATAATCTCTCTCGCTCTCTCATTTTTATGTTATGAAACATTTTCTCTGCATAAGGGAGTAAAATTAAGTTCGAGGATGAAATCTTTCTTGTGTTGCCGGAAACACATTCTTTAAGATCGGACAATGACATTTATGCTGGCTTTTCCTTCTTTCTCTGATGCTTAACAGACAATAAAAACAAATGTAATTGGGACCCTAAACATGTTGGGACTTGCCAAGCGAGTTGGAGCGAGGTTTGAATCAGCTTTAGCATATTTAGTTTGATTTTGTTTATTGTGGTTGTGATTTCACTAATTGTACTATATATGCAGGATTTTGCTGACGTCAACATCAGAGGTTTATGGTGACCCTCTTGTGCATCCTCAGGATGAGAGCTATTGGGGCAATGTGAATCCTATAGGTATTATGATTCCCCCAAGATTATCTGTTCATTTGCCAAAAGTTCTGTTTAGAGATGCTTGTGAAATTGTCAAGTCACAGCATGTTGATAGCTAGATAATAACTTGTTGACACTTGTTTCATGGCAGTGAGCAGGAGCAATGTTTAAAAAGGCTAAATTTGGTATCAGGGCATTTTGCCTATGTTAAGTGAGGTGCCATGTGCTTTAAGGTGTAAGCCTCAACATAAACCAATAAAATAATTCAAAAATATATATCAATATTATCATGTAAAATTTCAAACAAAAAAATCTAAAATTCCAAAATAAATATTTCAATAAAGTTAAAACTCTGACTGCAACTAGAAACGTGAAATAGAATAATAAGATAGCAAATATTAAAGTAGCTATCAAATAAAAAGGCCTCTAATCCATGACTACAACTGAAATTCTAAAATAAGTTTAAGAATTTTGTTTGCTTTAACTTCTTTTAGAAAAAGAAAGTAAGATAGTAGGACTACTGGACAAATATAAAAGAAAATAGTGGAGTTATGTCTTAGATATCTTTTTCCGCTCTCTATCTACTAGTGGAAAAATACGTCGTCACCTAGGGGTTTATTGCATTTTAGTAGCAGGGGCTAGCTAAAGTCCAGCTTCGCTTGTCTTCTCTAATTTAAATTTCTTTTCTTTCTATTTTTCAAGGTTAAGCTTTAAAAAAAAAAACTCAAAAAGCCATTAAAACATGTTAGGCTGTGTAAAACTAGTGCCAAAAGTTGATGTTGGAAATAAAAAAACACACAAAGCTCCAGACTAAGAAGGCACTGGTTGTCATGAGGCTTAAGCCTCAAGCCACTTGCACTGAGGCTTTTGCTGAAGGCCTCACCTGACACCTCAAGATGCAAACCTTGATTTTTCAAAAAATAAGAGGGAGAATATTATCTTAAGCCTCCACCATGGGCATGGTTAGAAATGAAAACCTGAGCAGGTCTATCGTTTGCCAGCATCTGGTTCTGTTTATATTACAAGACATTTAACCCTTGAATTTTGGTATTAATTCCTTAATCTCTGCATATTATTGGATTTCTTCTTTCACCCTTTCTAACGTTAGATAGACTATATTTACAAGTATGGAATATATGCAGGAGGAGAGTTTCACTTAATACTTCAGTCTGTTACTAAAATTTCTGGTGCAGTGTTTGAACCAACAAACGATGATCATACTTTTATGGAACACTGATTATATTTTATGTACATTGCAGGAGTTAGAAGTTGCTATGACGAGGGAAAAAGGGTTGCTGAAACTTTGATGTTTGATTATCACAGGCAGCATGGAATTGGTACAAGTCTTGTTTTTTCACCAGCTATGGAATCCTTATATTTAATAGCTCTCTCTATATATTTTATCATTTCTTACCAATTCGAAATGGTGATTCGACAGAAATACGGATTGCAAGGATCTTTAACACCTATGGCCCCCGAATGAATATCGATGATGGCAGGGTTGTTAGCAATTTCATAGCTCAAGCAATACGGTAAGATTTTAAGGGAAATCTATAGGCAAGGGACCCTGATGTTCTCCTGATGCAATGGTGCTAATCCCTGTTTATCATTACATAATGCATGAGTGGATCGTTGTTCCATTACGAAGCTGCTATTCCGTTGTCGATAATATTACAATATTCCTAATGCTAGTTCACTATATATGTATATCACTTGCTCCCTCTCTTCTTCTCTGAGTCTAACCCTGTCCTAAATATTATAAATTTGAGCTTCACTATTTGATAGGCAAATTACTTTCGGTTTCACTTATTTAAATTGATGTACCATGCAGTGATGAACCTTTGACAGTTCAATTGCCTGGAACACAAACAAGAAGCTTTTGCTATGTCTCTGATATGGTATGTCGGAGTATCCTATTATTTTGGCTGTTCAATTGGAACCACGTAATAATATCGTATCTGGACTTCATCTAATTTCTTTGGGATCTTTAAGGTTGATGGTCTTATTCGACTGATGGAAGGAGATAACACTGGGCCAATCAACATTGGGAATCCAGGTAATTATTACCGTCACTTGATTGTCGACCGAGAATTCTGATGCTGAAATGCCAATCTCTCTCTCTCTCTCCAGTGTGAAGTCTAGGTTTGTGGAAAAATATTTTGTTACAATTTCTTACGTTCTGAATTTTTATTAGGTGAATTCACAATGCTTGAGCTTGCTGAGACTGTCAAGGAGGTAACTTCTAAAGTTTGTGCATGTTTTGGTTGGACTTGGCAATCTCCTAGATAGAAGTGGAAATCTAGACGGCATTAATGTTTTCCTACTTTGGATACCAGAGCTTTTCATTAAGTCATTAAAGATTCCACTTAATGGCATTCTGAAACTAACACATGATTTCTGGGACTTTACAGACTATCAATCCAGGTGTGAAAATCGTAACTGTGGAGAATACACCAGACGATCCTCGCCAGAGAAAGCCTGATATAACAAAGGCAAAGGAGTTGCTTGGCTGGGAACCAACGGTCAAGTTACATGAAGGGCTTCCCCTCATGGAGGAGGATTTCCGCAAGAGGCTTGGAATATCGAGGAAGAATTAAATGTCGACCGGGTTCATATAAGCATAATTCCTTAATTTTGGATCTTTTATAGATATAATTACATGCGGCTTTACACGTCTTCAAGTCCTTTCCTGTTTTTGAGTTGTGGAGTTCTGGATCATGCCTGGTTATTATCTTTATTATAAATGGGCAAGTATTTTATTTGTGGAGAACTTCAGCTGATATTAATAACATGTTGGAAGTAAGTTTATATTGATTTCATTCTGCGTTAATATATAGAATTCATTCAAGATCGTTGTGTATTGGTCATGGAATAACAGGATCGACCTCTACTCTTGATATTTTTTTTCCTTGCGATTGTGGTTCTTAGCATCATTACAGAGATTATTGCAGTCTAGCAAACCCACCCCCACCCCTCAACACACACACACCCGAGAAAAAGAAAAGAAGAATATGGTTCATATTTTCCAGCATTGCTTTACGAACTTCATTTCTTCTGTAGTCTAGGATAACAGGCCATTGAAGGGGGAATTTCTGTTGGGAAGCTTTACACAAATACACTAACGAAATAAAATAAGTTCTACACAAATACACTAANTTTTTTTTTACAATTGGAACAAATTTTAGACCCAATGATAGAAAAAATGATCACTTTAATGGACAAATTCCATAAAAAAAGGAAGTCAAATGGACACCAAACTTTCAACATTTTCCATGGAAAATTATACTAATCAAACACAATTAATTACAATTCCCAGTAAAATATTTTCTAGGAAAATCAATTCCCTGTAAAATATTTTCTTTCCACCCATTTTCCACCCTTACAATCAAACGGACCCTAATATACAAATACTGTTACATGCCTTTTATTAAAAAAATAATAAATTAATTTTTATAATATTTCTATCAAAGTGCAACATATTTAATATTTTTATGGTTTGTTACATGTAACATGTTTCATTTGGAAAAAATCCATAGCTGAATTCAGATCCGTACACTAATCATGTTGAAATCAACTCTCCCCACCACCGTACGCAAAATCCCAGAGCGTGTGGCAAACTCTGTTACATTCGTTCGGATATGGTAGCCTTTGTGACAATTCACAGAATACACTAATCATTCGAATATGGTGGCCTTCGTAACAAGAATAATGCTGCATGTACATGGCCACATCGGCCTTGTAAGTGTAGCACCGTTCTTGTAACAAACCATGCAACATAGTGTTAAATTCATACACTTCTAGTTTCCATCTCCACCACAATCATCTTCTTCGCCGGTCTAACACTTTAAATCTCACCATCACCGTCACCACCAACATCAAACCAATTGCCGAGAGGCCCACACAAAACCCAAACATGATTGTAGTCAAACCCCAAATAGAATAATATTTCTTACCATTAAATTGTAACAATTCAACACGAGAGGCTATGATAGCAAAATAATAATAATTTACTCAAAACATTTCCCACACACAAATGTAAGCTCAAACTGATTTATGTAGAAATTACTTTTCAAGATGATCACATATCACAAATTGTAAATTCAAGAGTGTTAGAATATGCAAACCAAGTTGTTGGTTCATATTCCAAGGAGAGATGAGAGACTTTATAGCTTTAGGGACACCACTATTTGTCCTAAAACTTTCAGCATTTGCAGCAACCACAGGAACCACCATGGGCCACCAGAAGAACTTTCTCGTCTTCACCTTGCTTCTCAAGCCTCCATCAGCTTCCAAGTGCACAAATCAGCACCATCAGAACAAAAATTCCTTGAGGAACAATCTATCTTTTTTACCATCATCGGAATACGCTTCATGTGCCGCCACCATCTCCGCTCTTGTGCTTCATGCATTGCTGCCTGACGTCTCCATGGCCGCACTCGCCTGGGGATTTCACCAATGGTCGAGCGTTGACTACCATGACACATCCAGCCCGGTGATCAAATCGACCATCTTTCGCATTGTCCTAAACATTTCCATTAGTCATGGGTGCTCTCTTCAACAAGTTGACGTTAACAATGAAAAATTGGAAGGAGAAAGAGGAAATCATCAACAGATTCGTTCATTATTCAAAGATTTGGAAAAAGATCAAGGTTATTTCAATATTGAAAGTTTTGGGAAAAAAATTGAGAAACAAAATTGCTTGTTTTTTATTTTTTTTATTTATGTTTTTGACTCCTCGTTCAATTAGATTGGGAAACATGTTTGAAAATAACATTATTGAACCTTAAAGGAAATGGATTGTGTCAATACATATGAAAAATTAGTTTTGAATCAATTAAATCATTGATATCTGCAAGGTATTTGACAAAATGAGAATGTGAATTCTATCACTTTTCTATGAAAAAAGTGACATTCTTTAAAAAAAAAAAAAAGCCACACTATGTTATTGTAGCAATTAACTAGACGCATATATGTGCCTTTTTGAAAATTTGAACATATCAATTCAAGCCATGTTTTATGGTAATGCATATGAAAAAGAAAACTTTAAATCAATTAAATTATTGATGTGTGCAAGGTGTTTGACAAAATGAGAATATGAATTCTGTGACTATAGACATAAAAAAAATAAATAAATAATGGGTCGAGTCAATTTAAATAATTAGCTCAATTAAACTAAAACCTAATAAGCCCATAAGATTTTAAAAATCCACCCTACTTTTTTAAAATCCACAATTATTCAATTATGATCAATTTAATTGAATTAATTAAGTGACTACCAAAATTGGCCAAAAATTTCTCATATAAATAGGATCAAAGGCCCATTGAAAAGGGGAAATCAAAAAGTGAAAAAGAAAATCATGAAGTGTTGGATAAATCCCAAAACCAGAGGGAGAGAAGAAATCCTCTCAACCCAAAGTCTTCGAATTAAATCAAGATTCAAGCCCAAGTTTCGAAATGCAAATCCAAGCTCAGAATTTTAAGCGTAAACAAGTCAAGTTCTCAACAAATCAAATTCTCAATAAATCTCGAAGCCTTGGATTCAAGTCACGTAGCTCCTCGTCTTCAACCATTCAGATCATTAATTAGAGGGTTTTGCAATTACAAGAAGATTCATATTTATTTATATTTCTCAAAATACAATTTGCAACGATTTCTGTATTTTTAATACGCGAAATCCGTCGTACAAATTTCGTGGCACTCCCAATGGGACATTCTTGTCCTCTCATCTTTTGATCTCAAAATTTTCAAATTTCAACCACTACATTAACAATGGCAAACGGACAAGCGAAGCAAACCATGACTCATCTCGAAGAGACACTTATTGAACTGTTCCGTGCGACCAGAACCCAAACAAAAAGTGGGAAAACTCAACTAGTTCCACCACTAAAGAAGTTCTCCAACAAAGGCAGAATGAAAATTGTTTTCACAAAGCCAAATTCTCGTTCAGCAGAAAAGGCCAAAGTTCGGCTAAAAATTCTTGTTCAGGCTCCGTCTCCCGTAGCAGATCCTTGTCGGATCCTCTCATACCACTTCTCTGCAAAGGTGGAGAGACTATAGTTCGTCTAAAGAATCACTTGAGTCAGTGATGGTCATAGAGGTGACCTCAAGCTCAGATGATCGAATCCAACAAATGGCTTTAGCCATTAAAAAACTAACGAAGTCACTAGAAGAGAAAGACGTACAGGTTGCTGCACTCATGCACAAGTTAAAACTGCAAAATCTGGCGAAAGAAAATCAAGAAAATCTAGAATCTTCCAAAATGAAGGATCTGGAAGTCCAAGAACGCCAACGGAAACAAGATATACATGATCGAATGGTTGTTCAAAACGTTCTGCGTGATACTACTCAACTTTCTGTTGGCTCTGTATCTGTCCACCAACTTCAACATATAATTACGGACACTATTCGTGCCCAGTATGGTGGTTCAATGCAATCTTCATTGGTGTATACCAAGTCATATAGCCGTCGAATCAACGAGATAAAGATGCCACTCGGTTACCGCCTCCAAAATTCCAATGTTTTGATGGGAAGCATGTTGCTCATTTTATTGAGACATGTAACAATGCAGGCACTTACAATGACACCATGGTGAAACAATTTGTACGTTCCCTCAAAGGTACTGCGTTCAAATGGTACACCGACTTACAGATTGGGTCAATTGATAGTTGGGATCAACTTGAAAGAGAATTCCTAACAAGTTTCTACAGTACCAGGCGGACTCTCAACCTTCCAAAACTTGCTCGAACAAAGCAGAGTAAGGAAGAGCCCATTGTAGAGTACATCAAATGCTAGAGAAACCTCGTGATAAATTGCAAAAAAGAATAAGCAAAACATCTTCCATTGACATATGTGTACAAGGCATGCATTGGGGATTACTCTACAATCTCCAAGCAAATATACCTCACTCCTTTGAAGAGTTTGCGACATGTGCTCATGACCTGGAGCTCTAAATTGCAAGACATGGGAGTTACTTACCAAGTGATCCACGTGACAAGAAAGATCCCAAGAAAGAAATAAAGAAGGACTTCAAGATAGGAAAGTCCAAAGAGGTAATGACAATTTCCACTATCCCTGTAAACATAGCCTTCCAAGGGTCGAGATCAAACCCAAAACCAAAACCAGAGTTCAGACCTACCAAGGGACTAGTCTAAAGTAGAGGTCATGTGACGTTGAAAGAACTTGAAGAAAGGGAGTACCCATTCTCAGATTCTGAAGTTTCTGGAATTCTAGATCAACTCATCGAACAAAGGATAATCGAACTTCCATCGCCAAAGAGAACTGAGGAAGTTGGTAAGGTCGATCATCCTAAATATTGTAAATTTCATAGAATTATCAAACACTCGGTGGAAAGATGTTTTGTATTGAAAGATCTTATTGTTCGTTTAGATAAAGAAAATAAGATCAAACTCGAAACCGAAGAAAACCCAACGGCCGCCTGCTCGATGGTTTCATTTGGATCATTTGATCCAATCCCTGTTGCAAAGAAGGAACGTACATTTTCTCATACATACGCTACCAGTAAATCTTCGATTAAAGAGTTCGGACGGCAACTTCCAGAAGGAGCCATCCCGGTGAAGTTTGAAGTAGACGGAGAAAT